TTGTGTCGTTTGTGGCAGATACGGCATGAACCTCGATCACAGGTTTTGTAATCGTGTCCCCTTCGCAAGCAATTCGTGCACAGCGAAGCCCTTTCGATGGTGGCTATTCGTCGCTGTATGGGTTGTGATCGTAGAGTCTCACATGTCCAGACTGGATGTTCCTCGTTGCAAACTGCGCATTGAGGATTTTTTCTGGTAGCGGACGCGGTTTCTTGATTACAAGTCGAATGTGATTGGATTTCGGTGGTTAGAAAGGCGTGATTCCGCGAGATTTGATGTTTTCTATTCTCAAAAAGGTTATTCTGACGTGAAAACGATGTTGACGGCTTGGTAATGGATGCTGGACTGCAATTCGCGCGTTTCTCTAAAAAGTCCAACAATCGGGTATATGACGGCATTTTCTTATCCTTTAACGTCAAGTCCCAGTGCCACGCGGTGTCGGTATCTATTTTCGAGAGGATGATCGCATTCAACACGGTGTTCCAGGACTCAATGGGTTCGCTTAAATTCTTTAGGGCGCGAAGATGTTGATTAATGGCGTCGACGAAATTTCCTAAGTCGTTCGGCGCATTCTTAGTGATCTTGGGGAGGTCCTGTATCGCGTTGAAATGGCTTAGTAAGATCCGTCGCGGACAGTCGAATTTCTCCTTTAGGATTTCAATTGCGTCTACGTAATTGCTATCTGTCGTGTTCAATGATTGGATGCACGCGGCAGCCTTTCCCGTTAACGTGGATCGCAAGTACTGTAATTTCTGAACCGGCGTTAAATTCTCGTTACGGTCTATCATAGATGCAAAGATGTCGTAGAATGAGGTCCATTTTTCCAGGTCTCCATCGAAAGTTGGTAGCCGCATTTCCGGCAATTTGATGGCCATCGGGGCTATAACGTTTGACGCGTTGGATTCTGTGGTGTTTCGTCGCGCGGGCGCTGTCGGGTGTTGCGTATCGAGAAGCATGGACGCCCGTGTTATCGTCGCGTAATATTCGCCTTGAATTTCGTAACGTCGCGGTTCCTCGGATTCGTCGAGTTCTTCTAATTGGAATTGAATATCGTCGAATTTTTTCCACGTTTCGTTTAGGCCGCTTAAATGAGTTTGAAGCAGAAGGAAATTCCGTTGAGTTGACTGTTCGAATTCGTCAAGGAATTTAGTAAATGCGGTAATTTGTCCGATTACGCTACCGCGTTTGCGTCGCAAGGTGCTGGCAGTGATACCGTGGGCAGCAGAATGACTGGAGTGCTGACCGGAAGTGTTTGGCATTGTGAAATATAGAGGGTGGTGAGACGGGGATTGATCGATCGATTCAATAAACTTGTGAACCTACCTGAGCGAGGAAGTCAAGGACGATGAGTCCGCACGATGTCCAATTCGTTGAGTACTCTAGTTGCTGCTTCAAGTTGCCGTCGGAGCGACAGCGTTGTAGAAGTCGAGTTGTTATGACCCACGGCTGCTTACAAGTGTGGATCTGATCAGATTCTGCGTCTTGATTCAGCACTGATTTAATATTAATGTTCGTGGCACTGGCACTATCACTGTATTGTCCACTGTCTCTGAATCCGGCTCGAAGGACCAATGTTTTCGTATGCTTCGCGAACGACCGATGTCTCAGAGTCGTCGAAGGTTGTAAAGCTTCGACTCTAGGTTTCTAGAATTCGCGAATCCGTACTTCTCTAACCGTGTTACGGGATAGAGATGGTAAGTTGAAATATCTACGAGATGCTTTTGACTGCACGATTGATTCAAGAGTGTCGCGATCTTTCCGGAGCCCGTTCCTCCTCAGCTCAAAACCCCCTCCGACACACTATTTTGAGGGTGTTAACTGATTTTTGCGTTGACCTTGTGATTCGATTGATTGGCCATCGACTTGGGGAAGGAGGATCCACTTTCCTGCCCCGAATGGGAGGAAAACTCCTCCCTCACACCCAACCGTGGTGAAGGAGGAGTCCCAGGTCACCCTGGAAGAGGGTGACCGCGGTGTCCTCCCCAAGTCGAAGGCCGCGGTAATTTTGCTTAGGAAAAGAAAAAACGGGACTCCGGATTAGGAAGCGCTGAGTTTCCGCACGTGTTGTACAGCTGTTTTATGGCTATATTGTTCCACGGGTTGGCAATGGTCGTTGCCGGTCGGCCGACGTTGGCCTCGAAGACCGGACCACCCGCGGAACAATATAGCTCTTCGCTGGTCAACTCAGGTCTAGTATTTTCGTTCGACGAGGCAATTCGATTACTTTACGATGACATTTGCCAGATGCGGAATATTCGAAGACTTTTCGACTGAATCACGGTTCCGCATCTGGCACCATAAAAAGCGGAAAAACCCGAGTTGACCGGGCGGAACAGAGCGACGCCCGAATTTTCCCACCGAAAACCCATCCGAACTGGGATTTGAGCAATACCGGAAGACCCTGTCCCAGGCGTTTCTGTCCTACGCTCATTATCTCCCACAAATGCCCATTCCCTATTAGCATGTCTACATCACGCGGTTTGTCAAAGGATGGATCTGCTAATCTGACATTTGCAGGGATGTTCAATGCTGATTTGGCGATTTTAAAATTGGGAATATCGGAAGTGATCTTTTGCATCAGTATGCATGACATCGTAGTTGAATATCCGTTTTGCCGCGATTGTATTGTAACGCGAGCCTTACCCTGAGCGCGTTTACCTGCGTCCGCGGCCCCTACCCCCGAGATCGCTAATTGGGTCGGTTTACAACTCAAGCCGACAAATTTCGCAAATGACTCTTTTATGATATTTACTTGCGAGCCTTGGTCGAGTAACGCCCTACATTCAAATTTTTGTCCCTTGTCGTTGAGGACATGTATAATAGCCGTGGATAAAAGAACATGCTCTTTTCCCGACGAGTCATGAGTTGCATAACTCTGAGGGGGCGTATTATTTACTGCATTTGCTATACTAATGACGGGATCTGCAACCACGGGATCTACGGTAGGCGTCGAGTCATTTTTTAAATGAATCAACGTATGATGGTTGCCGTTGCATTTGTGGCAATTCCCCTTGTTGCAGGTGTTTGAACCATGACCTGGTCGCAGGCAATTAAAACAAATACGGAATTCTTTGACCTTCATAAACCGAGCGTACGGAGTCAAAGCTTTAAAACCGTTTGCATTGTGTGAGAGGATGATCCGACGAACATAATGGGCATTCTAAACTTTGCATGCTAACCAGCGTCATGGGGTGAGGTTGCGGTTTCTGACCTGGGTTCCTATTTTTCGGAGGGAACGGACCCGGAGGTATTACTCGAACTGACTTTATTAGGATTTTGTACTGCTTTTCGAGAAATGTCTGTAAATCTGCCAACGTTTTCTTACGGCCTATTTCCGCGACCCGTTTATCCCACGCTTCGCTCGGTTTCCGGTCGAGTTTGGTCGCTAATAAATGGACCAAGATCGTGTCCCATTTTTCGACGGGTTCCTCCAGCGAGGTTAAGGATTTTAAATTGTTGTTAAAGTCGTCTAAAAGTTGCCTCAGACTCGCCGGTGAGTCCTTTGGCAACGTCGGCAAGTCGAACAATGCACCGACGTGGAAATCGATTAATTCATTTGTGTCTTCGTAACGCTCGCACAAGAGCTTCCACGCGGCCGTGTAGTTTTCATCTGACATCGGTAATGCTTTCAATGCCCGAGCAGCGTCTCCCTTTACTGCTGATCTCAAATAGTGAAACCGTTCGATATTGCTTAACACGGTATTTTGGTTTATCAATGATTCGAAGCTGTCTCGAAAATAGACCCATTCTCCGACCGTCCCGTGAAAACTGGGCAACGGAACTGACGGCAATCTAACCGAGGGTGCCGCTACGGAGGCTGTGGGTGATGCAGCATCTACACGAAACGTCTGTTGCGCGGTAGAGCTCGGATTCGGAACCGGAGCACGCTTAGCCGAAACATGTTCGCGAACCGCGCCTATGATATCGAAATACGCGTTTTCGAACGCCTCGCGAATTTGATTTTGCGTGTGTTCTTCCGGTGTCCCGGCGGTGATCGCATCGATGCGATCCTGAATCGACTCAAATCTATCGAGTAAATGGAGATTTCTGTGCAACCGTTCCTCCAATGCAGCAGCCCCGGTGGTTGCTCGCTGCGTCTCGAAACATGTCTTAAATCGCGTGAGCGACGATTTAACGCGACCGCGTTCCTCGACTAACTTATTCAACGTATCCTCTCGTGGGGTGGCCATTGTTCAGCGCAAAATGAGAAGTAAATGAAAACTCGACTCACCGGACGTAGACAAGAATCTGCACAGGACTCGCTTAGACGGCCTCTGCAATTCTCCAGGAATCGGTGGTCCTGTTGTCGTGCCCTTGGACTGCTCCTTGGTGAGCTGGACTCGTAGAAGCGTCTGTCACTTCCTGGTCCACTGGATGAAGCGGCTGTCGCTTCCTGGGTAGCTGTACGAAGCGCCTGTCGCCTCCTTGGTAGCTGAATGAAGCGTCTGTCGCCTCGTAGGTTGCTGAATGAAGCGCCTGTCGCCTCGTAGGTATACTGCCACACTGGCAGTTATCCTCTCTCGTTCACGAACGTGATGGGTCACACGATACGGCGACTGTCCCCGTATCACACTCTTTGCAATCGAGTGTACTCTCAATCCAGTATCCGGCTCGAAGGACCAATGTTCGCGCCCGAAATGTTGTAGGTCGGATTGGAGTGATGCGATGTCGTCGTGTTGGAGAGGTTTCAAATGGTGAATTTCACACTGACGGGTACACATGTTAACTAAAGAATATTTCTGCCTAATTCCTAGTGAGGTGTTTGAAAATTGTTACGACGCGAAACAAACAGTACAATTTATTCTGTGTTGCAGCGTAACAGTAAATTCATAAAGCCATCGGATGTAGAGTCAAACCTTTTCATGCCATCACGTTTTGCCTATAACTAAGTGCCATTAAGGCTGCTAGTTAAGTATTAAATTCATTTCAATCTGCATGGTTCTCCAAATCCAGGCGTTCTATGACTTTACTATCTGCAATAACCAGAAACCCAAGGCCAGATGTTTTATGGCGAGGCAGGTATCGCAGGAAACATCTGGGCACCAAGCGCTGACCTGGGCCCGGAGCCGCTTCGCCGGAAAACCCCAGACGAGGGAAAAATTAGTAACAAGACCCGTTACATACCGCCTCCCACCGACCACACTGATTGGCAGTATTTTTGCACTATTTTGACCAATCGACGACTTACGCTGCCTCCTATAGCCTTGGGTACGCCCATAGCAAGGTTAGCTGCTTAGAAACCCTTGACCGAGACGGCAGATCAAACTTGACTGTTAAACACCACGCATCTCTAGTATTTGAATACTTTGTATATTTCGGCAGTCCGACTTAGAAATAAACTTGTTATTTGTTTGTTACACTAATTCACTGATTGTGCTGCAAGCACTACCTTCCGTATCCTTAAAAAATCAGTCACTCGTCATTAAGGTTAACGTGTGACGTGAGCATACTCGAAAACTTCTTTCAATAAATTAAAATCATTTTGCTCACCCCTCAACATGGTCCTTCGAGCCGGATACGGAACTGCATAAACGAACGTTAATAAACTCAGTGAACAAGCAAGTGTGAAGCCAACAATACAAGTGACAAGCATACAGTCATTGTGAATTCCAAGGCTATTGTACGGACGTCCCATTTGGAAAGCTGCCGTTTGAGAAGCCAACTATCAATATCCTGGTGGATATCCCGTTTGGAAACCCACCGTCGTCGGACAAGCAGAGATTCCACATTGTTGGTGAGCATCCCGTTTGGACAGCCACCGTTGGAAACGCCGAATTCAACATCATTGGTGAACATCCCGTTTGGAGAACACCAGCAGCCGAACAAGGATCTTCGGCACCACGTGAAGAACACTCAGTCAAGTAAGAAGCTCAGAGAATCTCCTATCAATCCTTTAAACGATCTTTCATTCTTCTATAATCATCAAGTCAATTCTCGTACGTACTAAACAATTAACGGAGGAAAATGGCTGCCTCTGCACAGCTCAAAACATTAAACAGAAATCGAGCTATTCTTAAAGGTAACGTAACGCGGTTAATTGGATACTTTAACTCAAACGTCGATATAGAACTCGATGACGTTCAAACGCGCAAGGTCAAGTTAGAAGAATGTTACCAAGCATTTTCAAAGATTCAATTCGAAATAGAGATTCTTGCCGAGGAAGCCCAAATAGAGTTAGATCACGAGACAGAAAGAGCGCAATTTGATGACCAGTATTTTAAATGTGCTAAATTCATTAATCAGCGTCTTCGCGAACTCGAACCGTCTCATGTAATTGCAGAACCGGGTAGTTTAACTTCACAACCCAGTGCAATCAGTGGTTCTAACATTACCATAAGTAACAATTCGTTATTACCAAAAATAGAAATCCGTCCATTTGACGGTAATCCCATACAATGGTACAGTTTCCATGACACGTTTCAGTCGTTAGTACACAATGACACCAACATCCCGGCAGTACAGAAATTTTATTTATTAAAAAATTCATTAGTCGGTAGTGTCGCGACAATTATTGACCAGCTTACAGCATCCGAAGAAAATTACCATGTAGCTTGGGATTTATTAAAACAGCGTTGTGATAGGCCTCGTCAAATTATTCAAACTCATATTAAGGCGATCTTGGAGTTGCCAGAAATCGCGAAAGAGTCACCATATAGTATCCGAGCGTTAAAGGAGTCTGCCTTAATGCATGTAAATGCTCTAAAGGCCTTGAAAGAACCGATTGAAGCGTGGAATTCAATACTCACATACGTAATTGTTCGTAAACTAGACAAAAATACGCGACGAACTTGGGAACGCACTCTAGACAACACGCAAATGCCTAAATTCACCGAGTTAATAGAGTTTTTAAACAAACAAGAGCGAGGAGATGAAGCTGAAACAAACAACATGATAGGGAATCAAAGTCAAATAAGAGTCGAACGAAATGCAAATAAATTCGGTAAAGTGTCGAGTCATCGCGTTCAAGCATTTATAGGAACGGAAAGGCGGAATGAATGCTACCTGTGCAATGGTAATCACACTATTTACGCATGCGAAAACTTCTTAAAATTAACTCCGCGCGAACGATCCAATACAGCGAAAAACAAACGGTTATGCCTTAATTGTTTACGAAATAATCACCCGACTAATAAATGTATGGCATCCAGCTGCAAACATTACCATCGCAAACATAACACGTTATTACATTTCGTCGAAGCACACAATGCAATTAGGGTAGATACAGGTAGTAAGGAGAATCCGCACTCGTCTACCTCCACCGAGCAGGTAAAACAGGGCTATACGGTAACATACAATTCAGAAGTGCTATTAGGGACAGCGCGGATTAAGATTTTAGACAATAATAATCACGAACATGAATGTAGGGTATTGTTAGATGGATGCTCGCAATGCCATTTCATCACTGATAAGCTAGCACAGAAACTTCAATTAAATAAAGAAAAAATTGATCTGCCATTTGCGGGTTTAGGCCAACTGACCACGCGAGCAGAGTATCGAGTCAAGGCAACAATTAAATCAAAAACCAGTAAATTTCAATCAGAAGTAGAGTTCGTAGCTCTTCCAAGAATCACTAGTTTATTACCATCGCGCCGTGTCCATCGCAAGGAGCTTTCGATTCCGAACAATATCCCACTTGCAGATCCAGAATTCGATAAACCCGCGGAAATCGATGCGCTGATCGGAACCACATTATTTTACAAGCTATTAAACATCGGTCAAATTAAACTATCAGGTGCGGCAGACGTCAGGTTACAAAAAACAATGTTAGGCTGGATAGTGGTGGGTGACGTTCACAAATCTAACAACAATTCAGGCAGTAACTCGTGTCACTTAATCACGTCGTTAGATAACCAATTAACCCGGTTTTGGGAAGTCGAAGAAGTTCCTCATAAAAAACATCGGTCCCTAGAAGAAACAAAGTGCGAAACATTATACATGGAGACCACAAAACGCGATCGCGACGGGAGGTACATTGTACAGTTGCCATTTAACGATAAACGGAACAATATTGGCCAATCCTATGGCACCGCGTTAAACCGGTTCTATTCAATCGAAAGAAAATTAGCAAGAGACAAGGTATTACAACAATATTATAGTAATTTCTTAAGGGAATATCGCGATTTAGGACACATGCGTGACATTACACAGTCTGATAATAAACAAGAGGGTTACTATATACCTCATCACGCGGTTATCAAAGAAGATAGCTTATCAACAAACGTTAGGGTAGTTTTCGACGCTTCAGCTAAAAGTATGACAAACGTTTCCTTAAATGATGCAATGATGGTCGGACCTCCCATTCAAGGTGACCTAATATTTATTATAATGCGATTTCGGTTACACAATGTCGTACTGGCCGCTGATTTGCAAAAAATGTATAGACAAGTTAAGGTAGTGGACTCGGACGCAATATATCAAAAAATTTTATGGCGAGAATGCGAAAATGAAACAATCCGCGTCTTTCAATTAAACACGGTGACTCAAGGTACAGCTTCAGCTCCGTTTCTTGCATCTAGAACGTTGCATCAATTAGCCGACGATGAAGGTCATAAATTTCCCTTAGCTGCAATTAGTTTAAAGAATGATTTTTATGTTGATGATTTGCTATCAGGCGCAAATACCATTCAGGAAGCATTAGAATTGAAACGCCAAGTAACTCAAATACTGAAGCTAGGGGGATTCGAACTTCATAAATGGGCTTCAAACAAATCGGAAGTAATTGCAAGGGCAAACAATGACGAAGCACAGGCGATTTGCTTAAACACAGAATCTAGAAAACTATTAGGCATTCATTGGGATTCAATCGGGGATGCAATAACTTATTCCGTAAAGCCGTTTGCTGCGAAAAAACATTCAACCAAACGTACAATACTATCCCAAATCGCTCAATTGTTCGATCCGCTAGGTTTGCTAGGGCCAGTAATTACGCTGGCAAAACTCGTGATGCAAGGATTATGGAAAGCAAAGGTAGAATGGGATGAATCGTTGCCGCAGGAAATGCACACCAAATGGATCGAGTTCAAGAAAGAGTTACCACTGCTCAGTCAATTTAAAGTATCTAGACAAGTCATATTAGCGAATGCACACGACATCCAGTTACATGGATTTTGCGATGCAAGTGAAACTGCGTATGGGGCATGTGTGTATGTGCGATCATCTAACAAGGAAAACAATTCTTTAGTACAATTAATATGCGCAAAGTCACGTGTTGCTCCAATCAAAACTATTACAATACCTAGACTCGAATTATGTGCAGCGCAATTACTAGCTAGATTAGTTGATACGGTGTCAAGGTCATTAAATTTAAAATATAGCAAAATTCAACTGTGGTCTGATTCCACTATAGTGTTGCATTGGATTCAAACATCTCCTCATTGTTTAAAAACGTTTGTGGCTAATAGAGTTGCGGAAATTCAATCACTAACGAATGTGAGTAATTGGTTCCACGTTTCAACCGAAGACAATCCCGCCGATTACATCTCCCGTGGTCAAACTCCTTCTGAGTTTATAAAAAATACACATTGGCAACATGGGCCCGTCTGGCTAAGCCAGAGAGAAAATAATTGGAAAGTCAAGCATCTTTTGCCAATGATTGTTCCTGAGCAAAGGGTCAAAACAGCGCTAGTCATTATGGGTAAAGTTGCCAAAGACAATTCAGGGGAACACGATACAAAAAACGATACACTTGAAAGATTCTCTTCAATTAATGCATTAATTAAATTTGTGGCATTCTGTCATCGAGCGGTTTCAAATCGGAAATCAGCCAATAAAAAGATAGGCAAATTTACCATCGAAGAATTAAAGAATGCACGAGTTCAGATTATACGGGTGATTCAACAAACTCACTTTTCGCGAGACATAAAAAATCTCCAACAAGGCATTCAATTAAATGCAAAAAGTAAACTCACATGCCTAAACCCATTTCTTGATATTGAGGGTATTATTCGAGTAGGGGGTCGCTTAACAAATGCTCAGATAACATATTCACGAAAGTACCCTATACTATTACCATCAAATAACCACGTTACCAAATTAATTATTCACAACGAGCACATCAAGTATTGGCATGCGGGAGTGCAGGCTACTTTAAACGAGGTCAGAAACAATTTTTGGCCTATTGATGGAAAAAACACAACACGACACGTCATACATAAGTGTATACGATGTAGCAAGTTAAATCCCAAGCAACCTAGTTATACAATGGGTGATTTACCTAAAACTCGCGTAATTCAATCACGTCCATTTGCTAATGTTGGGCTTGACTATTGTGGCCCATTTTCCTTGAAGGAAAAGAAATTTAGAAATAAGAACAAAATAAAATCCTATGTCGCCGTGTCTGTTTGTTTTGTGACAAGAGCTGTCCATTTGGAGCTTGTCACAGATTTAACCACTGAAGCGTGTCTGGAAGCTATTAAACGATTTTGCGCTCGACGAGGAAAACCAAAAAATGTATATTCAGACAACGCGACTAACTTCATTGGCGCCAAAAATGAAATATTAAAGGTCAGGGCATTTTTCATATCAAACGAGAATCACACCAAATTATCGAACTATTTTCAAGAGGAGGGAATTAATTGGCATTTCATACCTCCCCGCTCTCCACATTTCGGCGGGTTGTGGGAGGCAGCTGTTAAATCCTTTAAGCACCACCTGTATCGCACAGTAGGAGAAACAATGTTTACGTACGAGCAATTCAATACTTGCATTGTTGAAATAGAAGCAATTTTAAATTCCCGTCCTTTGACCCCATTATCATGTGATCCTAACGACCTTACTGCCCTTACCCCAGCACATTTCCTGATAGGAGGTTCGTTATCGAGCATTCCAGAACTTGACGTTCAAGACGTGCACACCAATAGGCTGTCAATGTGGCAGAGAGTGCAACAAGTAAAGCAGCATTTTTGGAACAGGTGGCATAAAGAATATTTAAATGAGTTACGTACCAAAAGTAAATGGCATCAAGGAGATGGTAGACAAATTGAAATTGGTCAGCTAGTAATGATCAAAGAAGACAACCTTCCTCCAATGCAATGGAGCATGGGTCGTATTGTGCAAGTGCACCCAGGCACAGACAATATAGTGCGTGTTGCAACAGTGAAAACACAAAACGGACTCTATAAACGTTGTGTTAAAAAACTTGCGCCATTGCCAATAGACCGACCACTAGAGACTTAATTTGATTATTTCATCCCATAAGTATGTCTAGTATAAGTAGGATAAGAGAGGACCATAGCCATCGCACTATTTGTGGCCATATTGTATAATTAGCATTTAATTTCTATTACATTACCATGTAAAAATTTAGGACAGGGACACACACATGTATCAATGTTAGACATTAGTAATAAGACTCACTATGTTTAAATTCGCAAGGTGCCCATCACCTATATCAATCTAGCATTTACTCATATAATCATAAAATGTATACGAATTTCACTAACCAATAAGTTTTGAACGGAAGCCGTTCAAGGCGGGCGGCATGTTACGACGCGAAACAAACAGTACAATTTATTCTGTGTTGCAGCGTAACAGTAAATTCATAAAGCCATCGGATGTAGAGTCAAACCTTTTCATGCCATCACGTTTTGCCTATAACTAAGTGCCATTAAGGCTGCTAGTTAAGTATTAAATTCATTTCAATCTGCATGGTCCTCCAAATCCAGGCGTTCTATGACTTTACTATCTGCAATAACCAGAAACCCAAGGCCAGATGTTTTATGGCGAGGCAGGTATCGCAGGAAACATCTGGGCACCAAGCGCGGACCTGGGCCCGGAGCCGCTTCGCCGGAAAACCCCAGACGAGGGAAAAATTAGTAACAAGACCCGTTACATACCGCCTCCCACCGACCACACTGATTGGCAGTATTTTTGCACTATTTTGACCAATCGACGACTTACGCTGCCTCCTATAGCCTTGGGTACGCCCATAGCAAGGTTAGCTGCTTAGAAACCCTTGACCGAGACGGCAGATCAAACTTGACTGTTAAACACCACGCATCTCTAGTATTTGAATACTTTGTATATTTCGGCAGTCCGACTTAGAAATAAACTTGTTATTTGTTTGTTACACTAATTCACTGATTGTGCTGCAAGCACTACCTTCCGTATCCTTAAAAAATCAGTCACTCGTCATTAAGGTTAACGTGTGACGTGAGCATACTCGAAAGCTTCTTTCAATAAATTAAAATCATTTTGCTCAACCCTCAACAAAAATATTAGTTGCCAGAAACCAGTTAACCCACTCTCACTTGCTCTCTTTACAGCTGCTGGAGTGGTAATAGGTGCTGCTATAGCCCATTGCTGTTGGAGAGCCGGAACTTCTACTGCTCAACAAATTCACTCCAGTAAGGAAAAGGTGCCAGAGGTGGATAAGAGGAGCATTTCTACGCAGACTGAGATATCAGGACCAGTTGAGGAGGCTATCACAGACCCTTCCTTCACTCTCACTAGGGACAGACAGTCAATCCCTAGGGCTATCTCTCCTTACGATAAGACGTTCGCAACATCTGACATCGCAAGGAATCTACTCCCATAATGGAATCTCTTGCTAGGAAGGTTGAGGAGTTTAGGAACCTGCTTCCAGAGTTTACCGAACTACCGGATGCAGTTATTTTGAGTATCTACAACAGGGTTCCTGCAGCCACTGCCATCTCTAGGCAGCTGCTCCTAGATGCCACAGAGGCAGAGCTAGATGCAACTGCAAGAGAAGAGCTGTCAGTGGTTCCAGACAGCTCCCGAGCTCAAATGACCCATCTGTTAGCATTAGCAGGTTTGAAGAGGCGAGATTGGAGACTCATCATGGGTTTTGTTGATGTACCAGACGATAGTTTATTTAAAGAGAAAATAAGACGAATGTCATATGCTTGTCGATATCAAGAATTTGACCCTTCTATCATATTAAGGAAAGTCATCAAGGCCCATGCTATTGCGACGAGACTCCCCAAGCAGACCTTTCAACTAGTCTACAGAACAGACAATGGAGAAGTTCTCTGGCCCATTTCTAACCATGAAACCATATATGACGACATATACTTCCTTATAACTACATTTTTGAGTAGAGAGGCTGTCATATCTAAGCTCCACAAAAAGAGTCATCAAGATTTCGTGGCAGTCATGAGGATGCTCTGTAGTAAATATGACATTAAACCTGCCACTCCTGGGCGGAAACGCACAGAGGCAATAGGCCCGGAGGTAGTGACTTTGCCTCGAGTCGCAGCAGTATTCGCTGAAGTGACCGTGTCACTCTACGATCGGGGCTTTGTGAGAGCTATTGCTAATTTTGCGGGATTAGATTTCCCACGAGCTATGTATTCTCCCATGTTTGCCTATGTTGTGGCAAGGGGCATACGCACTGCTGATGGTTACGAGAATATCCATCCGCAACTAATGCTAATCGCTATACTCATTGATAACGTTCTGCATCAGAGGGATAAGCCCACTCCCTTAGACCAAATGTGGGTGATTTATCTTGCAGCCTTCAACTCAACCGTAATAGTCCCTCAACACAGAATGTCACTCTGTCATCATTTCGGAGTTTGTGTGGATGGGAGATTCTTAAGATCAATTGTGGAGCAGAGGGAAGAATGCATGAGGAGAATTAGAGAATTACGCCCACACGAAAGGCTGGAAGATGTGCTCAGGGAGATGTCTCGAATCAACTAAGTGTGATCTGTCAGTTTAAAATACACTCGTACATCTGTGTTCCATTTCTTTCTGATTAGTTTGTAAGTTTGTCACTTATCAGTGTAATTTCTACTTGCATGTTCTAACAATTTCCTGTTGAGTTTTCCGTTGCGCTTTTGCCCATTAGTGTTTTAAAGTTCTATTTAAGGGTTGAATCATATTCCGTGAATTAGTTTATAGGATCATTGACCAGTTACGCATTGTTTTGGATTGCAAATGTAATCTAACATGATGTGTACCCGGTCATTGTGTCCCTTTATTCAATGTTCGCGCCCGAAATGTTGTAGGTCGGATTGGAGCCAAAAGTAATGGCACATAGCGTATTTTCAAATAAAATGTTATGTAACTGTGAACAAAGCAAAATATCTTCCTTATTTTTGGTATAAAATATAATTTTGAGGTTTGAACTTTAAATATCTCGCGAAACAAAGCGATTAAGTAGACCTGTAATAATAAAAAATAATAACAAACACATGCAGAGCAGTTTTCGGCGAAACAAAAATATTGGCACACTTACTATTTTATAATACTATATTCAAATTAATATTTTGTTTGTAATTTTTTTGTCTTATTACACTTTGTAACCGATTAGGCATCGAATGTACTAAATTTTGTGTTACTTCTAAACCTATTTCGTTCCATTCCTTCATAAGTGCATCTTTTAATTGCTTCTTTGTTTGAATAAGGTGTTTTCGGATCCTTCTTCCAAACTCATTCCATATGTGTTCAATCGGATTTAAATCCGGCGATTGAGGGGGGGGTTGGCAATGTATGGGGTATATTAAAAACGATCTATTGGCGAACAATATGAGCAGTATGCTTGGGATCATGATCTTGTTGGAAATAGTAGTTTTCCCCAAGATTTGATTTGTCTACATTTTTTTTAAGTTTTGTTTCAAAATATTTAAATATACAAATTTATCCATAATACCGTCTATAAAAACTAGTTCTCCAAGTCCGGAGGAACTTGATTGGGCTGGGGGTTCAAATAACGATCCCATGATCTACCCCAACAATTATTCAAATGTTTATTTCCGCGGGTGTGGGCGTGTAGCCACACGTAGGTTAATGTTGTTACCAAACTGTCTTTACTAACGTGACTACGTCTTTACCAGACTGGGATGTCTATGACAGACTGGCCGGGAACGTGTCTTTTACGGACTGGGAGCTTTCTTCCATCGTCCCTTCTTTTAGAAATTGGTTATTAAATAAAGTACTCAGATTTCCTGTCAATAAACGCTACACTTTATTTCCATTACGGTTAGAAGAGACATCCTTTCTACAGGGTATTTCACCTAACTTGACCACCTTAAATATATCGCTTATTTTGTATGATAGAAAAAAAAGTCAAGGGGAGAAAGTATTCTGTTCGAAGGCGCCAATAGGGTGATGGATCGAATTTTTTTTTCAAGGTCATTTTTTTCGAGATTTCAAGGTCATCGTATTTTTTTTAAATGGGACCACATATTTTCGCTACAACAGTCTTATAGCTTATAAAAAGACGAATCCAACGATGTGCGATATGTTGACCTTCACGTGACCTTTAGCGAAGGAATTATGAAATGTTTGTCAGTAACTTCAGTACGCGTTCGGAGACGGTAAATGAAGGAATTTCAATTTCATTGAAACAGTCTTAAATTAAATGTTTATTTTAGAAGGTGTTCAAAATGTGCACCATGAACCTGGATACATTTTTGGAGGCAGTAAATAAATTCTTGCTGAACATTTTTCAGTTGTTCTACAGTAATTGATCTACATGCATGTAGAATCCTTTGTCGCATGTTTTCTGCTGTTGTGGGAATATCATTGTAAACTGTATTTTTTAGGTGCCCCCACAGAAAGAAATCAAGTGGCGTAAGATCCGGCGATCATAAAATTCCCCTCTTACAATAATAATGCTTGTAAACATACTTCAACCGTTTAAAGGAGAATATGAATATCTATTTATAAGCACCAGAAACAATTACACGGTACACTGTTTCAATGAAATTGAAATTCCTTCATTTACCATCTCCGAACGCGTACTGAAGTTACTGACAAACATTGTGGTCCTTCGAGCCGGATCAATGTTCGCGCCCGAAATGTTGTAGGTCGGATTGGAGTGATGCGATGTCGTCGTGTTGGAGAGGTTTCAAATGGTTTATTTTTAATAATAACAAAGTGGACTGTATGAATGTTTTCAAGCGCGTTGAACTGTGGGAGGAACTGTTTCCCCCGCGCTTACTTTATCAAAATGCGTTCAACTCAAGTAAAATTGCTGTACTGTTACAGACTTGTTAGTTAGACTTGTTAGACTTAGTCGGTTAACGACTGAACCGAGAATTGAAACTGGTTTGTCGGTTGACGACTGAAACTAGAATGCCCAATGTGTCCGGAGTCCGTTTCCTCCTCAGCTTAGATCCCCTCCAAGAGGTACACTTGGGGGTGTTTTGCAAATTCCTCTGTGGAATCGTGAGTCGATTGATTGGCCATCGACTTGGGAGAGGAGGACCCATTTTCCTGCCCCAGTTTGGCAGCAAGCTCCTCCTTCACCTCGGTGGTGGAGGAAAGTCCCAGGCCACGCTGGCGAGGGTGGCCGAGGTTTCCTCCCCAAGTCGACGGCCGCGTTAATTTATCGAGGAAGAAACGGAACTCCGGATTATCCACGCAACAAGGGGTTGCGTCTGGTCTACGTCTGTTTTTATGGCTATATTGTTCCGCGTGTCGGCGATGGCCGTTGTCGTCGGTGCCTACATTTGGCCTCGACGACCGTACCACCCGCGGAACAATATAGCCCTTCGCTGGTCAACTCGAGTGTCGCGTTTCTTTCGTTTTCCAAAAATGCTATTCTTTTACATTGACATTTGCCAGATGCGAGAGACTCGAAGACGTTTGCAACGTAGTACCGATCCCGCATCTGGCAACATAAAGGACCGGAAACAACTCGAGTTGGCCAGCGGAATGAGCGAGCTTTCGTTTACCGAACAAAGACGGAAAAACGAAACTGGAAAATACTTAGCGTAGAGAAAGTTTAGCTACAGTGAAAGAGAGTAATAAAAGTCAAGAGGATCGCCGGATCGGGGTGGTCCGAGGCCCAGGCGAAACCTTGAAGGAAAACAGACGCCTCGCACAGCTCTGGTCACCAAGTGTTTAACAGGACGACCAGGCTCGCACGAGACCCTGGGAAAATAGAAAAAATAGAAAGCTTATAACTATCCTTACATTCCATTCCCATTCATACTCTGGCAAGGGCGCAGTGGCTATACAATGGTCGCTACAAACTCATACAACCCCATACTAATACACTACCACCCTCGTGTTTAACAGTTGAGACTATGTTATGTGAATCCAACTCGGTATTACGCTTTCGCCATATTCTTATTTGACCATCAGATTTAAAAATATTTAATTTACTTTCGTCAGGGAAGAGTATTCTATTCCAAAATTCTAAATTTTTGTGGACATACCTTTCTACAAACTCTAATCTGTTTTTTCGATTAATTTTGCTGATCAATGGTTTTCTTCTAGCCACTCTTGAATTGTACCCGGTACTTTTAAGAACTCTCCGGATAGTTATAGGATGTACATCTACCTTATTTTCACTTTTCATTTGTGCCGCTATTTCTGTAGAGGCAACTTTTGGATTTTTGTTTACAATCTTGGTAATGTGGGATCGTTCGCGGGTTAGATCGGGAGAAAATCACTACACCGTATTTGCGCTGATAGTTTTTATTCTGGCTGGCTCGCGTTGCGTCTCGTGACCAACTGGCCTCGACGAACGAATTCGGCGACTCGACGACGCGGGCTCGAACATACAATGTTGCGTCGCCGGTCGCCGCGCGCGAGGCTACGTGCCCCGGTATGTTTCCGCTCGCTGAAGTGTCGGCGGCCTACGGTCGCCACAGTAATTTTTCGTTTAACTCATTCTGATAATTTCTGTGGACGACCATTTCGCGGAAGATTTTTTACATTTTGTTCGTCAGGAAACCGTTTAATGATATTTCTTACGGTGAAACGACATCTATTTACTATTTTAGCTATTGTAGAATATGAATTTCGCTCTTTTAAAAATTTTAATATAATTTTTCTCTCTGAAATTGTTGTTTCTCGTATTTTTCGATACATTGTTGTGTTATTCACTTTATTACAGGCAAACTTAGTAAGAAATAACAAATGAATATCAAATTGAATCTCGAGACTTCCCTGGATACAACAGTCATGCCAATATTATAAATATTTACATCAGTGTTTCATAGAAATATTAAATTTACAAGTGTGCCAATACTTTTGTTTCGTTGAAAATTGTCCTCTGTGTATTTGTTACTATTTTTCATTATTGCAGGTCTACTTAACCGCTTTATTTCGCGAGGTACTTAAAGTTCACACCTCAAACTTATATTTTACATAAAACATAAAGAAGACATTGTGCTTTATTCACAGCTACATAACATTTTATTTGAAAATACGCTCTGTGCCAATACTTTTGTTCGGCACTGTATGTGTATCGTATATTAATGTAAGTTATCTAGTTATTTGTCAACGACCATACCACGTTGGTAAAGACCAGTTCTCGTCCGATCACTGCAGTTAAGCTTCGTTGGGCGCGGTTAGTACTTGGATGGGTGACCGCTTGGGAACACCGCGTGTTGTTGGCAACCTTTTTCTTTTTTTTTTCATTTTGGCTTTAAGAAATTCTTAAGGCACATTCCCGTTTCAAACATTCACGGATATTTATTTTCAAATTCTTCTTATTTTTATTAGGAATCTATCACTGCCATGTGGATCATTTATTTCAGAATCACTTTATATACTGAATACAGTAGAATTTGCATTATTTTACGTCGTACTATTTCTCCACTGTTCGAAAAATCTTTTATTTAAACGATGCATACTCATGTAGAATATCATGCGGACTGTAACATAAATATCGATAACGGACAGGGTAATATTCCATTTGTCAGAACCTCTGATTTCGTGAAAGTCGTCCGCGCAAGGAAATGAAAATGTTCTGGAATTTTTCGATATCTTCAGATGTTTCAATATTTTATCCCTGATTTCTGCGATTCAGTACAAAATATTTTTCCATATCGATGTACATGCTTATAAACGAAAAATTTAGCTCTAATCGATATAGTATCGAAAACATAACAATGTATGTAATAGTAGGAATATGTATAGATAGTTTTGTTTGAATATCTCTTCGTGTCTACAAGAACAGGAAAGGAAGCTTGATTAGTGAACAGAGAATATTAATTACAGTAGAACCTCCATTATCCGAATAGAGAGAATTGTCGCGTCGCGAGCCCTCCGTATGACCGTCAAACAACAAACGAGCCCAACTCAGAAAGAGCCTTGTAAATACCGTCATATAACAAAATTTGTTCTTTCCATACCTGCGCACCAGATGTTTAGCAGTTGTGCGTCAAGCTCGTTACAAACGTTTTTTCCAGCAATTAGGAGTCTAGTTTTATTGCACGCCACGGTCAACCTTCAAAAATACAATAGCACTTTCGCGCGACCACCGACACAGCCAAAAACAGACAATTTTGGTGACACCCACACCACCCCTTCTTGCAGGGGCTGGCCGTTCACGCCTTACAAAATCTTGTAACCAATCAGTGTTTTTCGCATATTAGTAACCGCCCAATTAAGAACTGTATAAAGAGCGACGCTCGCTCAGAAATAAGAATTCAACAAGAATTTTGCGGAGCATCAACAAACCGACAAGTATTCATTTTTTCGAGTCACCGCATTGCATATCCATCATAAGTTTAAATACAGTCCACTTTCAAACATAAAATATTCGCACAAAGTTAAGTCGGCGTGCGACGTACGGGTTTAACTTTCCGAACAACGTCGGTGGAAAATTCGTACACGACATTTGGTCCTTCGAGCCGGATTCCAACGGCAAACACGACATTTGTAGTGCAGTGTGGTGACTACCAAGGAAGATATTCCTTGGACATCATAGACAATTGTCGGTAGTGCAACAGAAGCTCCAACGTTGACACTTACGACAACCTCTTTGGAGAGGGCAGATCAACAGCAGCACCGTAGGACACTACGTCGCCGGTGAAGGAAGTATCCACAAGCAGCCGCATCGGACACCTCAGCAGAGGAAGCAGCCGTCGGACGGTGGAAAATCCAAGGCCACGCAGCAGCACCGGGCCAACATCGACGCAGCGCAGCATCATCGGCGCATCGCAGCACCATCATCGACGCATCGCAGCATCATCGAGGCATCGCAGCATCATCGAGGCAACGCAGCAACATCGAGGCCACGCAGCCTCATCCAGACATTGCAGCAACGAGCAACAGTTCGAAGTTCAGACGTCGGTAGGGTAAGTCCACGAATCACTATTCCTTTCACATATTTTCCCTTATTGCAAGCAGTCACGAACTCGATTACATTCGTTGTTTAATTATCGCGAGATGGCAAACGTACCTGAGACAGTGCCAATGAAAGCCCTCAGGAGACAAAGAATCACGATTAAGGGACAGCTAACGCGGATAGAGACATACCTCGATGAGGGCGATCAGTTTGACATTCACGAGTTACAAATTCGCAAGGAAAAGATGTTAGAATTGAATAAAAACTTTGAAACCGTGCAGACAAACATAGAATTAGAGGATGACATATCCGATCATGACGCGGAAAGAGAACAATTCGAGCGGAAATATTTTAGAATCACCAGTAGCATAAACCGTCGAATCGAGGGATTACAAACCCCTAACACAGGTATTAACCCAGGTAGATTCACGGACTCGCCGAACACGGTAACAATAAGACAAGAAAGTAGCCTTTTACCTAAAATCGAAATCAAACCATACGACGGTAACCCTATGGAGTGGCATAGTTTCCACGATACGTTTCGAACACTGGTCCATAATAATGAAGACTTACCGGCCGTACAAAAATTCCATCTGTTAAAGAATGCACTTCGCGGAGAAATCGCGTCAGTAATTTCAACATTAAACGCATCCGAAACAAACTACCGAGTAGCTTGGGATTTGTTGCAAAAGCGATGTAACAGACCGAGACAAATAGTGCAAACACACTTAAAAACTTTATTCGAATTGCCCGAAGTAACGCGTGATGCATCCTCAAGCCTCAGGTCATTGGCGGAACAGGCTCAAATGCATGTAAACGCACTCGCTACCCTAGGTCAGCCCATAGCACAATGGGATGCAATGTTAGTTTATCTAGTCGGCAAAAAATTAGATAAGAATACGCGTCGCGGATGGGAACGCACTTTAGAGAATGACGAGATGCCGACATTCGACCAACTAATTAATTTCATAAATAAACAAGCGCGGGGCGATGAAATTGAAGCGGAAGCTTCAAACGCGAGTAGGCGGGTTTTGTATCCAGATCGTCCACTACGAAATAAACCATTTACAAGGGGGTACACTCACGTCGCGACGACGAATACAGACAAATGCGTCATGTGTAGGGATAAGCATGAAATTTATTATTGTAAGCATTTTTTGCAAGCACCAATTCGGGAGAGATTCGAGGTAATTAAACGAAACAAGCTATGTATTAATTGCTTCCGAAACGGTCATTTAGTCGGCACATGCCAAGCTAGCGGATGCAAAAAATGTAATTTGAAACACAATACCTTACTACATTTTAACGACGAACAGCGGGCTAACATAAACCCTCACAATGCGCGAATAGGAAGTCAGGTAACAAGCTCGGGAGTCAATGCAACAAGCTCGGGGGTCAATACGACTACATTAACAGTTACATGCAATTTTGAAACCTTACTCGGAACCGCGCAAATTAAAATATTGGACAGATTCAATAGGGAACATGATTGTCGCGTATTATTAGACGGGGGATCACAAACCCATTTTATAACCACCGAGTTAGCCGACAAATTGCAATTACGCAAACACAGCGTCAATCTAACCTTCTCAGGTATAGGTCAACAGGCGACCAGGGCGCAACACCTTGTAAAAACAGTAGTCAAGGCGCGAAACGGTACATTTTCTACCCCCATTTCATTTATTACTGTACCGTTGATTACCGGGTCACTACCGTCTCGACAAGTCGACAGAACATCGATCGAAATTCCAAAAAACCTCACGTTAGCGGATCCGACATTCCATAAGCCCGGGAAGATAGACGCATTATTAGGTAATACGTTGTTTTTTAACCTATTAAGTAATGGACAAATCAAATTAAATAATAGTAAAATCATCTTACAAAAAACCAGACTAGGTTGGATAGTTACCGGCGAATCAGATCTACAACCATCGTACAAGAACACAGTAAAGTCATTTCATACAACATCAACATTAGACAAGACATTAAACAAATTCTGGGAAGTAGAAGAATTCGCGGATCAGGTATATTTATCGGAAGAAGAAAGGGCTGCGGAAAATTCGTTTGAACAGGGCACCGTACGAGAAGCGGATGGGCGGTATTGTGTAAGATTACCCTTTAACGAACGCAAACAATTGTTAGGAAGTTCACGCGAGGCAGCATTAAAAAGATTTTACGCATTAGAACGGAAATTGCATTCCGATCAAGAATTATTAGCAGGATATCGGGAGTTTTTAAATGAATACGAACAATTAGGACATATGACACAGGTCAACGCGGACGATTCCGCCGAGGGGTTCTACCTGCCGCACCACGCGGTAATAAAAGAGTCTAGCGAGACTACTAAGATACGCGTAGTATTCGACGCCTCAGCGAAAACATCGACAGGCATAGCATTAAACGACACATTATTAAATGGGCCTATCCTACAGGATACCCTGTACAAATTATTACTTAGATTTCGTTCGCATTCCTATGTTTTAACGGCAGATATAGAAAAGATGTTTCGGCAGATTAAAATACATACAGAGGACAGGAAATATCATAAGATATTGTGGCGCGATTCACGAGACAAACCAATCAAAACCTACGAACTGAATACCGTAACATACGGAACCACGTCAGCTCCATTTTTAGCCGTGCGTTGTCTACAACAATTAGCGGTTGACGAACAGGATAATTTTCCCGCCGCGGCAGCAATATTCAGAACAGATTTTTATGTAGATGATTTGCTCACCGGAGCATCTACTCGCGAACAAGCATTAGTAATTCGCGAAGAAACCATAGCGTTAGCAAGGAAAGGCGGGTTTAATTTAAGACAGTGGGCATCAAACGATGAGAGTCTGATCGAAGATCTAGCATTAATTAATCAAGAGCGCACTCTGTCCTTAGACACAGACGAAACTAGGAAGGCGTTAGGTATAGGTTGGAAACCAAGGACGGACGAAATACGCTACAACATAAAACTGACCGACGGCAATCCTCGACCTACGAAACGTACAATACTTTCACAGATCGCACAATTATTCGACCCGTTAGGGCTATTAGGACCAGTTATAGTACGCGCAAAAATTATAATGCAGCTATTGTGGAAGGCTGACCTAGGTTGGGATGAGTCTGTGCCTCAATCTATCCATACCATGTGGTTAGAATTTACGCAAGAGCTACCACTATTAAATAAATTTTCGACGCCGCGAAAAACGATTGTTGATAGCCCAATAGAAATACAGATGCATGGATTCTGTGACGCTAGTGAAGCGGCTTACGGCGCGTGCATTTACTTGAGGTCAATTGATAATCAAGGAAAATGTAAGGTTAGTTTGTTGTGCGCGAAATCAAGGGTTGCGCCAGTAAAAACCTTATCATTGCCGCGTTTAGAATTGTGCGCCGCTAAGTTATTAGCAAATTTAATAAGAGAAACCCTTAACGCGATGACCCACCTCGAAATTAAAAGGATCGTGTTATGGTCGGACTCAACGATAGCATTAACTTGGATTAGAACCTCACCGCATTTGCTAAAAACATTCGTTGCCAATCGGGTAAACGAAATTCAAGAGCAAACAGATATTGAAAATTGGCGTCATATCTCTAGTGTCGAAAATCCGGCAGATTTCATATCCAGGGGACAGACACCTCTGCTTTTTCTAAATAACCTAAGATGGTTAAAGGGGCCGCAGTGGCTTTCACAGGCCGAACGAACTTGGCCATTTATTACACTACCTGCAATAGAAATACCGGAAACTCGTAGCTTCAAGGTTTTAGTAGCAAGAATTAATACAACAGATTTCGTTGGTAGATTCTCAACAATAAATAGGCTCAACAGGGCACTAGCATATATATTACGGTTTTATAATAATTGTAAAAGCAAAAACAGAGTTGCGGGCGAATTGACTAATTTAGAGATTTCTAATGCACATATACATATAGTTAAATTAACACAAGCACAAGAGTTTACGCAGGAATTGAGGGATTTGAAGGAAGGTAGGGAAATAAACAAAAGAAGTAAATTACTTAATTTAACACCATTCCTTGACGAGAAGGGTTTAATTCGAGTCGGCGGCCGATTAAAACACGCAGCAATAAACTATTCATACAAACATCCGATCTTATTACCACGCAACAATCACGTTACAGAATTAATAATCAGGCATGAGCATTTAAAACATTGGCATGCGGGTATACAAGCCACTTTAAACGCCGTCAGACAAAGATATTGGCCAATAGATGGAAAAAATCTTACGCGCAGATTAATTCATAACTGTGTAAATTGCTTTAAAGCCAATCCCAAGCTATCTGAGTATGTTATGGGAAATTTACCGAAAGACCGTGTGACACAAACACGGCCATTCGAAACCACAGGAGTCGATTATTGTGGACCATTGTTTTTAAAGGAACGAAAACACCGAAACGTTAAGAAAACCAAGGGATACGTAGTAGTATTTGTATGTTTTGCCACAAGGGCTACTCATTTAGAATTAGTAACCGATCTAACCACGGAAGCATGTATAGCCGCGATAAAACGATTTTTCGCGAGAAGGGGAAAATCCCGAACTTTATACTCCGATAACGGGAGCAATTTCCTAGGCGCAAATAACGAAATTATTGAAATAACCGCATTCGTAAACTCGAACGATCATAAAGGAAAATTAAAACAATATTTGAGCAATGAAGGTGTCAACTGGTCGTTCTCTCCACCCCGTTCGCCTCATTTCGGGGGTCTATGGGAAGCCGCAGTGAAGGCCTTTAAAAAACATTTCAAGGCTACTCTTGGAGAAGCACTGTTCACATACGAACAATTGAACAGCATTATAATCGAGATCGAGGCAATCCTGAATTCCCGACCATTAACACCCATATCCTCTGATCCTAATGACTATATCGCTCTAACACCCGCACACTTCCTAATTGGTGATTCGTTACAAACCCTACCGGAATATGAATGGACACATGTACAAACGAATAGGCTGTCATTGTGGCAGCACACTCAGAAAATTAAGCAACATTTCTGGAGTAGATGGCATCGAGAGTATTTGCACGAGCTCCATACCCGATGTAAATGGCATACTGGTAACCATAAAAATATCAAGGAAGGGATGCTGGTCCTGGTGCAAGAGGACAATCTACCACCGTTGCAGTGGAAATTAGGTAGAGTCTTGGAGGTGCACCCAGGAGACGACCACATAACACGTGTAGTGACAATAAGGACACCGTTAGGAGTGTATAAACGCAGTGTGAAGAGACTTGCGCCACTACCAATAGACTGCATATAACAAATGTACAGTACATCCTAGTATAACTTAGCCATAAGGATTAGTTTAGATTCAGAACAATTTTGAATCAAAAACACTATGTAATTTTCTAGGATTATAAATACCTCGTAATGTTATAGTATTAAGTATTCAGTTTTGCCTGCAGTGCAATTGTTCGCTGTTTGTCGACTTTTAGATCTTTTGAACATGACCGTTCAAGGGGGCCGGCATGTCGCGTCGCGAGCCCTCCGTATGACCGTCAAACAACAAACGAGCCCAACTCAGAAAGAGCCTTGTAAATACCGTCATATAACAAAATTTGTTCTTTCCATACCTGCGCACCAGATGTTTAGCAGTTGTGCGTCAAGCTCGTTACAAACGTTTTTTCCAGCAATTAGGAGTCTAGTTTTATTGCACGCCACGGTCAACCTTCAAAAATACAATAGCACTTTCGCGCGACCACCGACACAGCCAAAAACAGACAATTTTGGTGACACCCACACCACCCCTTCTTGCAGGGGCTGGCCGTTCACGCCTTACAAAATCTTGTAACCAATCAGTGTTTTTCGCATATTAGTAACCGCCCAATTAAGAACTGTATAAAGAGCGACGCTCGCTCAGAAATAAGAATTCAACAAGAATTTTGCGGAGCATCAACAAACCGACAAGTATTCATTTTTTCGAGTCACCGCATTGCATATCCATCATAAGTTTAAATACAGTCCACTTTCAAACATAAAATATTCGCACAAAGTTAAGTCGGCGTGCGACGTACGGGTTTAACTTTCCGAACAACGTCGGTGGAAAATTCGTACACGACAAGAATTTCTTTCGCGAATATTCTTTCCCCTATTGAAACGTTCTTTTATAATAACAAAAGGTAATTTTAATCATCACAATTTCCCTCCGAAATTCGTGACCTCTTAACCGTCTCTACTTTCAAACGTGCCACCAGATCTTTTATTCACCAACGCTTTGTTCAACTTTTTCCTTCTTAGAGTTTCATTTTTCTTTACCCCTTTTCCTTACTGTATTTTGTTCGTCTTATTTGTAATTGTATGTATTTGTGTAATAACTTTGAGGTCAAGTGTAAATACAACTCGCCACTGTGCTAATTGTTCTTTATACTACGCCATGGTAGAAATATTTACTTGAATTTGTTTTACGAATTTGAGAAATTATTTATTTGCCTGAGACAATTGTGAAAATGTTGGGATTACAAATTTTTATTAGTTTGTAACAATTCCAAAACGATTTTGCAAGTTTGAAAATTCACTTATTATTTTTGTACTCGTTAACTGTAATTTTAAGACAATCGATAAATTGGTAATTACAACCCTAATGATAATTGGTCATTTGTAATTGCTGCTGGCATTTGATATTTGCCATTACAGAATTTAATTGTCTATTATATTATACAATTTTTCGAGCGATGTGTCGCCAAATTTTGAGCGACGTTCGGTATCTCTTCTGACGTAATTTTGAATTTCAAGCCGCTACTTCTCCAAAATTAATAACGGACATTATTATTCATGTCATTTTAATTACCGTTCCAATTGCTTTTACACGCGTCAACGTATTAATTTGATCGATAATGGTTTTAATAAATTTTGTAAATATCCAAGCTCTTCGATCATCAAATGATTACTTTATCATTTGAAATAAAAGTTAAACCGACGTTATTACTGAAATACTTGGTTGTTATAATAATATACCTTCTCATCATTATTAATTTATGTCTCTAGAGAAACGGTATTTGCGTTTCATCAAAACCAGGCATTTAACGTTATATAAATTTTTTTTCAATCGTTGTCGAACAAATTTAAGGCGTCTGCTTCTTCTTTCGTTTTTAATTAAAGATGAAGTTATTTTAGAAACTTTGTTCTGATAGTGACAGTTTTGAATCAGTGTTGAAATGATGTTAAGATGTCTCACTCGTTACCTTCGCGCGAAATGTGTTCCTCGTTTTGGTATCCGATATTAGTTTCCTCCTTTCGAGAGTGTTAGTTTTGAAGATGTTTCAATCAAGGTCTGTGACAGCCGGTTTAGGGGTGAAGGAGCCTTAAGAGAATGTCGACTCGCGAATAGTGACAAGAAGTTTCTCCAGCATCGAGGAGATGGTCCCTAATGCACATAAGTGTTCTCTAATAGTGACATTAGCTTAAGTAATTTATTTACGTGGGAAATGGAGTTCGGTGTTGACGTTAATTGGGATAGTTTTGAGGCTGAATTTCCACGTTTCCTTCATCCGTTTCGAACTGATCCTAAAAATTATATAGTCATCTTGATCTTAAATGTCAGAAAGGGGAATTTATCTGAAGTAAACGGTATTATGTCTGACAGATAACTGATGCGAAGTGTTTAACTTAAACCATAAATCTCGGATCACCAAAATGTCCGCAAATAACATTCATTAGCCTCAGAAATGCTTGAGTTGTATCGGATGGACACGTCCTATCTGTCGTGATATAATTTACTATTCAAACTGACAGTAATTAATCACCAATCCTGATCTCCCTTAGTCCGGTACAAATATCAACCAATAACCAAAAATTCCAGACTTTCGAAAGGTGCGAATTGAATCGAAGTGATTTAGAATAACGCTAAAGAATCTGCATCCAGAAAAAAATATGTACGATAAATACTCTGTTAGATATTTTTGTGAATAAATTGCGTCAAAGTAAATTAACTACAGAAAATATATGTACACAGAAGTTTCATAAATTCAGAGAAAGGAACGTTATAATGGTCGGCTTGAAAAGCGAGTGACCTCCGCCTTTAAAAAGAAAACTCGTTTTTAATTCTGGAAATCTTCTTTGCGTCGCAGACGCTTAATTTCCCTGCGGACAAGTCAAGCTAATCGCGTCATACATTGGAAGCATCGTCCGGCTCTGTATGTTCGTATTAAAGCAGGAAACACCCTTTTTGAAGAAAAAAAAACGGTATCAAGTGTTTTTATCGATTCCAGATTACATTCGATCGCTGAAACTCCAACAGTATTTATTTCACACTCCATTTGGAGCGTTTTAGCAGTAACGAACAGCACTTCGAAAACGGTCGACAAGTCGCGAAGTTGCGCCAGATTTTCAGTTTGACTTCGATCTAAATTGTTCCAACTAAACGAATAAATTGATCTTGAAATGTTCCATTTTCTGTTCGAAATAACAAACAATTGTTACTTTTTAAAATTGCAAAACCAAATTTTTACCAAATTTAATTTAACGTTTCACGTAACTCGATAGGCGGATTCGAGATCAAAGAATACTCAATTTGTACTTCCGTGATTTTGATCCCAATTGGAAAATTACTTTTGTCAGAAACTGCAATTAGTAATTTCTTCTATTGCGCCATTCGCATATTCTTAATGGCCCGACTCTAGGAGTGTGGCTTGCATTTGAATCCCCCGGGAGTCATAATTCTTTCTAATTAGTTTTTCAATATGCGTAATATGGCACGACCAAGACTGTGACAGGGCAGGCGCAAAAGGGTCACGTGCTTCCGGGCGCCATGTTATGAGCGCGCCAACAGGCGGCCATAATATTAAATAAAGTTATATTCACTACTTGACTAACACTTTACTGTTCGCATAATTCGCGAAACAATTCTGTACAGATTCGTAAAAATGGTTCTGTTCACTTAAATTTCTTTTTAGAAAATTCCACCATCGAATATTTGCAGTCGAAGCAAATTGATATAAATAAAATTACGTATATTATAAACTGTTTTAAAATAACTAGGCACTTATCTTTAATTTCAACATTTATTTCAATTTATTACTTTTCATCGTAAAAATACTTTTCTAATTTCGCGGTTCGTTATATTTTTAAAGATCCAAAGCGGCTTGATCGAAAACGTTGAAATATTTAATTATCTCGCGAAACGTAAGAATAATAAAGTCTCGAACGAACCCGGGAAAAAGCAAAACGATATCAGAATTTTGTATCAATCGAGACACCGTGGCCAATTTGATTCACCGATTCTCCGCCTCGAATATCGTTTTTCCCTCCGCGGTGCAGCCTCAGGCGCTCCTGTTTACGTTTAATTAAATTTCCCGCGTTCATCGATTAATTGCCTCGAGACAATAGGCTGAGACAATCCTATTTTCTACTAGACTTAATTAAACGCCGACCGCGGGACAAAGAAGACGCATCGGTTCGTAATTCCGGGTGCGCCAGGACCGTCGTTTAAACGTCACGCGTATGATTTTAACTCCCGTCGGTGTAATGCCGGCCAGTGAATCAATAACCAACGATTGCCCGCCTGTGAACGTACGTCTGTGAGAGGCACGTTGAAGAGGAAAAGCTGGAACGTCGAGGAAGCTGAAGAAGGGACGGAAGGGTGGGGAAGGTAAACGTGGTTGTCACGGCGCGATTAACCCAAGGGAATCATAACAATTCGATGATATCAGGCCGAATTAGCTACAGTTCGATGCAACGTGAAATTTACACAGTTTCCCAGTATTCGCGGCACAACAAGAGGGACGACTCTACGCGAAAAAATAAACAAAACGTACAGAATAAAACTTTTTCGTGCGATGTTTCGTTTTCGAGATAATCGAATTTAATCGACCGTTTCCGCTCGCGCTATTCCACCCGTGCTCCGCGAACATTCAAAATCGATTCTCCCAAAAATAAAGCCTCGTACGAGAAAATGTTATTCCATATCTTCGACTTATTTTTTCACGTAGAATCGTTCTCCCCCTGGTTGTACCATGATTATCATGACGGAGACAAAAAGCAACGACCATCGAGGACAATCGCGCGTTCTGCTCGCCGTTTCGCGAAGATATAATAACAGCATCGCCAGCGATACTCGGCATTCTTAGCAAAGACAAACATCGTTCGGTCCGTTGGGTTTGAGACAAGGATCTCACGATTACCTCGACCTAACAGGTCCGTGTAATTGAAAGAAAACTTTGTTAACGGCGGGTCATGAAAGTTTATCGAGCGTATTGTATTATTCCTTGGAATTAATAACCGACGACTTTCTGTGATCTTTAAATTCCCCATTCAGAAGTCGTT